TTGGGTCTCGTTGGGGGTTTTGAAGATACCTATGCGGGGTCGAAATCGTAGTCCAGCCTGGACAAGATAGGCTTTTGGGAAGGAGGGTAGAATGAAATTAAATGAAAAGGTGAGGCCTAATCACCTCATTTTGAGAAAACTTAATTATCAGTCCTCAGACTGCGACCAAACAGAAAGCCATACCAGCTTGGTCCTTATATCTACGGTCCATCGGTTCTCAAATTGGCTTAACCTATTTAGGCTGACTTTGTTCTTATTCAAAACGAAGCCAGGCTAACGGAATTAGTGAAACTCTTGTCACCATCTTCAAGTCTGGTCTTCTTGAAAAATAGATAATGACTCTGAAAAGCAAATTTTTTCCCTAATGAAATATTTCTTAATTATTGCCTAAATATATTTGTTTAAAGGAGTGCTTAAAAACCGCTTGATGGTAACAAAGTGAATAGTCATCCTTTCCTTCCCTTATTTCACATTTATTTCCAAGACTCCGAAGCTTCAGTGATTGGGGCACATCTCCTTGGCTCTCTTCGCAAAAAAATCTGTAATTCCAGCCCACTGTTTCATGATGTCTCGGAACTTGCGATCCCATCGAGCGCCGAGTCCGCCGCTTCTACTGTTCAGATGGCCTTACCAGAGACAGTGAGAGGCGACATAAATGTTACTGAGGCACCAATGGAGGAGCAAAAGCTCGAGCAAGAGCAGACAATCGGGCCGATATCGGCAAATCAGATTGCGCATATTCGAAGAACGGGCACTACTCGTGAGAAGATACAAGCGATAGTACAGACATTGGTCGCCCGACGTCAGGCCGAACTGCTCTCTCGTTTGACTGGACCAGATCCCTCGACCGTCCGACCGGGAGGACGGATGAACGAGGCCTGGCAAACTGAACGTGAGGCTGGACTGCGTTTATTCGACGGACGAGCCCACAGTTCCAATGGATGTAGCAGAGTTGTACAGCATCATTCCAACTCCATGGAACCCGCCGAATCTATTCGATCCAGTGCCGTGGAAAAGGTTACAGGACCTGTGTCGGTCGCTGGAGCTGAGCAGATGCCTTGGAATAGAGAATCGTCTTATATAGTTTCAAGAAAAAAGCCAACCTCTCCGACGTCTGTGTCTGCCAGCATGCAACGAGACAAAAATCGCTCACAAGCAGTCCTTCAGTCGGGTGCATGTGGCCCAGATCATGAATATAATCCAAATCAGCCGCAAAAGCACACCTTTACACCAGGTGTACAGCTCAAACGTTCCGAACTAATCGGCGTCAAGAATAGGCCAATGTATGCTGTCTGTCATGAGGATGCCGAACCTAATGGTCATAAAAGTGCTGGATTAGAATCCCTCAAACAAAAACAAGACTTGCCCGCCTCCCTGCCGAAGGGACGTCAGGGC